TACATCAGTAAATCACGGCGATTACAATGATTTCAGAGCTTGCAATGCACATTATTTTGTGCTTGTGTATTAGCAATTGTATTTTTCTACCACAATAATAAAACATTGTCTTTATTCTGATTTCTTTCTTATAATTTTTTTTTAATTCCTGCTTGCAGTCCAGAGTTCCTCAGAGCATGATTAGATCATTAGTATTTCTTGCCAACTTCTAGTTTCAGCTGGCATAGAAAAAGGCAAGCAGAAGTCCATGCCAACTCTTGCATTAGTTGTGCTGTAAGAACCATTCACAAGACAGCAAACTATTCAGAGAAGTCACAGGTCATGCACTGTGAAAAGATAAAATGTTGCGCCTACAGGTATTATATTGAATTGAAGACAAATGCTCCCATTCACTGCTTTCAGTGAATGTAAATTGGTTGTATCATGTCGAACTAAATGTTCATTTGGAAAAATATCGTCTCTGTGGGGTAATTGGTAGAAGAAACTGAGGTAGGGGTACAGGACAATAAGGAAATACTGTGATATATCTTCAGCTGGAGTTCCAGGTGTTCTAGACAGCAATGGTCAGAGTTTCCCACTAAGCTGTTGCTTCAGTCTTTAAAGTGATAAAAAATTCTACCATCAGCAGCTTGCTGTGCCAGTAAGATTGGTTTCTGAGTCTTGAGTGCATCCTTGTAAGTGTCATCCTTGTAAGTGTTATGTGAGAAGAGGTGGTACCATTCCAGTCAATTTTTCTTATGGCGCTCATACTCTGACTCCATTCATCTCAGGGTTGGCCCTCTTTGGATTTCTCTCTTTTGCCCTAGTTATCTGTTTATTTAATTATCCAGATGTGTTGGGTAGTCTTGGTTGGTACCTTTGAACTCACATGATGGTTGATGACAAACTCAACATGACCCAGCCATGGGCACTCCCAGCCCAGAAAGCCAGTGGGATCCTAGGCTGCATCCAAAGCAGCGTGTGCAGCAGGGCATGGGAGGGGATTTTGCCCCTCTGCTCTGCTCTGGTGAGAGCCCACCTGGAGTGGCAGTTCTGGTGCCCCCAGCACAGGAAGGACATGGACTGTTGGAGCAAGTGCAGAGGAGGACATGAAGTTGATAAGAGGTACAAAGACAGGCTGAGAAATTTGGGGCCACCTACTCTAGAGAAAAGAAAGTTGCATGGAGACCTCATAGCAGCCTTCCACTATCTGGAGGCCTACGGAGAAGCCAGAGAGCAACTCTTCAGGGATTGTATTGATGGAACAAGCAGTAATGGGTAAAAACAGAAAGAAGAAAAACCTAGGCTACAGGTTACGAAGAAATTCTTTCCTATGGGGGTGGTGAGACATGAACAGGTTGTCTAAGGGAGGTTGTGGATATCCCAACCCTGACACTGTTAAAGGTTGGTTTGGACAATACTTTGAGCAATCTGGTTTAGTGGAAAGTATCTCTGCCCATGACAGAGGTGTTGGAACTAGATGATATTTAAAGTGCCTACCAACACTTAACATTCTATAATTCTGTGTTATCAGTTTCAGATGGGACGATACTGACAAAGTGCCTGGCCACAGTCTTCAAGACATTGGTGTGCTATGGACACAACCATGTAATGAAGCTTCTGATTCACTCTAGACTTGTCCTCATGCTATTTTCTTTTCCTTTCATCACTGGCAGACCTCTGTGTGACACCTACACAGAATTGCATACTGTGTGGACTGGTACTGTTAGGACAGAGTCCTAACAGCTTACACAGTTTGACATTCTTCAGGCAGAGTTAGGATTGTGTTCCTCACATGTACTTTGCATTTATCTATACAGAATTTAATCTGGCATTTTATTACCTTGCCATTCAAAATCATGAAAACTTTTGCAGAAAGGTTTACTCTTACCATGCTGAATGATTTCAATTTAGAGTCAATAAATCTTGCTACTTCCTAAACCCACCTCCTTTGCCAGATAATTTATGACTGCATTTTTCAATTCAGACTCTCACACAAATCCATTTTCCAGGAAATTTAATCATCCCTCCCTTTGCCTTCTGGGCTTGACCATGTTGCTTAGAAATTTCAAAGCAAAGTTAGGATCAAATTGAATTGCTTTCATTTAGATGTTAATAAGTTGAATTGTAATAAGACATTTTTTCTTGCAACATTAAGAACAAATTTCTGCACCAAGATTAAAACAGGCTATCTTCAGGAAGTGTTGATGCTTTCAGTGTCATGTTTGTTCTGTTTTCTCCAAATCGGGATCTATTAAAAGTTTTCAGTAACATAACTGAAAATGGATTAGTACAGTTTTGCATATGTGTGATAGTACTGTATTACTGATTTGATTCAAATTTTTCTTCGTTGCTACTTTTAATCTGTTGATTATCAAAAGCGAAATCATTATTATAATGGAGTATATATTCTCTCCATGGTTTCAGTAGAGCATATAAAATAAACCCAGGCATCTGAAATTGGAATGTGCGAAAAATGCAGTATTTATGTCAACAGAATATTTATGTTAAATAAGTGCGGCTAATGAATCTTCTGTAAAGCTGATTTTGTAATAAGTCAAGGGTTACAGAAGAATTTGCACAGTTGGAGGACAGCATTTAGCTTTACAGCAATATGTCATTGGATAAAATCCTTTTTACTACTTTACATAAAACTTCCATGTATTTAGCTATGAAAAATCATGTACTCTAAATGTAATGTGTAAAGGTGTTAATGGTTGTAAATGGGTAAAGTTAACAGTTGTTTCATTTATACTCAAATAGCATTCTTCATTAGACAGCTTAGAAAAGAAAGTCATGCAAACCACCTGCCCTTCTTTCTTTTGTTTTCAACATTACACATTTTCTTTATTTTTCTTTAAGGGGACACTACTATGAAATTCTAGATATAAAAATCATGCCTTCAGCTTTCTGCAGAAAAAGTGGACAATGCAAAAGCACAGCATCTTGCAGAGCTCACAGCATACAATTTTAAGTAAAACAGACCAGTAAGGAAGTGCAACTTATAACTGGAGAGCTGGAAATCTAGCCAGATCAGCTGCTCTTTTTTCATCATTCAAAATGTAAATTGTAGAGCGAGAAGAGAAAATTGTTTTTCCAAAGAGCAAATGTCACCACCCAGCTCTTTCCTAAACACTGTTTTGCCTTTCAATCTCTAATGCACCTGTCCTGCCAGTGACCATCTCTAATTCTCAAGAAAGCCATATTTCAGTTTTTTCAGCACTGCTAGTTAAAACACTAACAGGCCTAATGATGTTGGTTCCTGTTCTCTGTGATTACAAGGAAATCAGCCTCATGTCCCTGGTTCATCTCATCTCATGTAACAAGTCACAACACCCACATTTCAAGACAGAACAAATGTTCTCAGAGAGCTTTAGATGGCTTCTGTGAATAAGGAGTATATGAGTCATGTAACTTTGTATAGTTTTTTCACATTCATTTTCACTTTAATATAACAGAGATGCCGGTTTTGTTAGAGGCAAATTTAACATAGCTTAAGGTAATTTTTCAGAGTGTGCCTGTTGCTTTTCTACATATAATATGACTAACCTCAAAAATTTTAATCTGAGTAATAGTAGCAGCCATGTTTGCTCAAGCAGAGGAATTTGGGGTCTGAATGAGATGGGAGGGGTAGTTCAGAAGTTCTGTATTAAAGTTCTGTTTTTGTAAATGTGACAATGTTTATGTCTTGTACATGCTAATGAATTTTACATAGCTTTTGTGGTTCTTATCTTTGTTATGAGTTATTTTACATTTATTGCCCTATTCTTAATATTGCCTTTTACTTAATATTCCAGTATCAAAACTTCTGTTCTTGAAAGAATTGTAGTAAAATGAGCTAAATGTTTTGAGTCTGATATACTGTGCAACCAGGATTTACCTCTCCTGATTTCTTCAGTACATAAAAGACAAACATCAGTACATCTCAGAATCTGATTACAGCCCAAGTTTAAAACACATTCTTGAACATTCTCTATCTAATTAGCACATTTTCCTTATGTATTAATTACAGACCAATCTGTTTGCAGATAAAAAAAAACAACCCAGCCTTTTCTCCTTTATCTGCCAGTCATGGGAAATAATTCTCCAGAGTTAGTAGCTGTTAGCAAAGAGCAGCAGGTTTTAAATATATTTATGATACCAATATTTTAGTAGTCCATATGATTTCCCATTTAAGAATAAATACTCATCACATGAATTATGAGCTAAGTTGTCTTCTAGGGAGGAAATGGAGCCAGAGATAGTTTTGTGGTTTGCTTATGGTTTAGTTGTCAGCACAGAAAGTATAAAGGCCAGATATTTTGGATCCTAGGCTTGTCAGCCACAAATGTATCTCTTCACTATATCACAATTACTAATTTGACAGAAGTAGAATGTCTTTTCTTGCTACAGAAATAAATTGGAAATCACTATCACAATCAATTACTTAATTGACATACTCTATTATATGTTACCTTACAAAATGTACATTCAAATGTTTTTATTTCAATTATTGAATTCCCTGTCAACATGAAAAAAAAGTTTTGTTAAGGCCATTCAGTTTTTGAATGTTAAGGAGCATTAACTATTTGCATATGTCAGTACAATCAGCTTTTTGCTCCACAGACACAAATACAGGGTGCTCTTTAAAAAATTGTGAATGTTGCTAACCTTCCATTAAGGATCTGTTCTAATTGGGGTTTAGATAGAAGTGATAGTCAGTGTGTCATGCATAGCACCTATGAACTCAGAAATACTACCCACAGATCTATGCCTGTGCATTTGCCTTAGTTCTGCAGCTGGTTGAAATTAAGATAAACCCAAGATAACTGACCTTCTCTTTGCTTACTGTGGACACTACTAAAACTCAGACCAAAACAATAACTATTTTCTACTGAATACTTTAAAATTCTGTGCCTAAAAATAAACATGATCTATAAGAATTGGCAGTGATACCAGTATCAATGTGAGTTCTTTTTTTGGGTAGAAGCACTTCAACCTAATGTCTCTTTCCCCCTATACCCCTCTCTTTCTCTTTCTAGATGCAGCAATTGTTCCATGAAAACTATGAACACAACCGCAAGGGTTACATTCAAGATCTTCACAACAGCAAGATTCATACAGCCATAACGCTTCATCCAAACAAAAGACCTGCCTACCAATATAGGCTGCACAATTACATACTGAGTCGCAAAATTTCCGAACTGCGCCATCGGACTATCCAGCTCCATCGAGAAAGTGTCCTGATGAGCAAGCTCAGTAACACTGAAGTAAATAAGGAAGATCAGCAACTGGGAGTGGTGCCGTCTTTCAATAATTTCCAGCCACGTGAAAGGGATGAAGTCATCGAGTGGGAGTTCCTGACAGGAAAGTTTCTTTACTCAATGGTGGAGAACCAGCCACCCCGGCAGAGCCTGAGCAGTGTCCTGCGGGCTGCACTGGATGATACTGTGATGCAGGTCATGGAAATGATAAATGAGAACTCCAGATCTAGAGGAAGGCTCATTGATTTCAAGGAAATACAGTATGGGTACCGCAGGGTAGACCCTCTGCATGGAGTAGAGTACATCCTAGATTTACTGCTTTTGTACAAAAGGCACAAAGGAAGGAAAGTTACAGTCCCAGTGAGACGCCATGCTTACCTTCAGCAATTGTTTAGCAAACCTTTCTTCAAAGAAGCAGAGGAGCTGGATGTAAAAAGCCTGTTGGAGGACACCAACGGTGACACTCAATCTTTCTCTTTCCTTTCAAATTCTTTAAAAATTTTTTCCTCGTCATTCCAAGGAACCAAAGACATTGGGAGACACAGTGACAAGAAAATACATATTCTTGTCCCTATCACGGGGAGATTTGACACTTTCTCAAGATTTATGGTTAATTTTGAGAAGACTTGTCTTATTCCCAAGCAGAACGTAAAGTTGGCAATAATTCTCTTCAGTTCTGATTCAGGCCCAGACTCTAGCAAACACATAGAGCTAATGAAAGAATACAGCATTAAGTATCCCAAGGCAGATATGACCCTGATTCCAATGTCAGGAAAGTTTTCTAGAGGTCTAGCTCTTGACATGGCCTCGTCTCATTTTGACAATGACACTTTGCTGCTGTTCTGTGATGTTGATCTGGTATTCACATCAGACTTCCTCCAGCGATGCAGAGATAACACTATTCAGGGAGAACAGGTTTACTACCCTATCATCTTCAGCCAATACGATCCAAAAGTAATATATGGAGGCAACCCTCCAGCTGACAGTAGTTTTGTTTTTACAAAAAGAACTGGATTTTGGAGGGAGTATGGATTTGGAATTACCTGTATTTACAAAAGTGACTTACTTACTGCTGGTGGATTTGATACCTCAATTCAAGGATGGGGACTTGAGGATGTAGACCTCTTTACTAAAGTGATAACATCTGGCTTGAAGGCTTTCAGAAGTCAGGAAGTAGGAGTTGTCCATATTTTTCATCCTGTTCAGTGTGACCCCAATTTAGATCCGAAACAATATAAAATGTGCTTAGGGTCCAAAGCAAGTACATTTGCCTCTACCATGCAGCTCGCTGGACTCTGGCTACAGAAACATTTGGGTGTCAGGTACAATTGGACTCTCTCCTGACACTCAGCCTATTTGGCCTTTTTAGGGGAGTTTACCTCATTGCTGTTATTTGATTTTGCTGTTGTAGTTTTAAACTCCCTCCTCGTAGTCTTCCAAAGACTGTTGACCTCAAACGGGCTGACTCTGCTGTTCACTGATGTTTCTTATGCCTACTGAACTGGTGAGGTGAATTCCTTCATATTTCCTTTATTTGAAATTCACTCTTGTCATGGAAATCATACAAGCACATGGAGCATATTCATCACAAGAGACTGTATTAGAAGAATGTTGTCTTTCAGCTTTTGGATTCAGTATCATCTTTGTTGCATTTCTCAGATTTGATGTGATACAAATATTTACTGGTGAAGGTACCACAAAAGTGCTTTACGCTTCTTCTGGGGATGGAACTCTCTAAGATAAACTTGAGTTTTATAATTTATATGAGGACTTATATGTATAAACGCTACTTTTCTTCATCTTTAGAATTTTTAAAGTAAATGAATAACTATAACTGTACCTTTATTTTTTAAAAAAAGAGTAAAGCTGAGGAGCTACTTGCAAATACAGCTGGTACTGGCTACCAAGGTCCTTAAATGTCTTATTATTAAAACAAACTCCTCATTGTTATTCAGTCAAAGTGTAAATGAACTTTATTTTCACAACAAACAGGATTTAGTCAAATGCTCATGTACATTTTGAAGATTATTTGAGCCAACATCCTTCATTTGCAGGCAAGAAGAAACTATGACTCAACATGGTAATTTATGATAAAGTACAAGCATACAGTGTTCTTACTTTGAAACACATAGTATAAGTTTCTCTTTCTCATTTTAGAATGAGTCTCTAATACATCATTTTCTTTTACATTCCTTTCATAAGGCTGTACTTCAGTGTTAAAAGTTAAAGCTCTATTTTTTGTTTTACATTTTTCATGAATATTGGTACTCAGTAGCAACTTGTTGTTAAAATTAAAGTAACTGTAGAATAGTTATTTAAGTTTCAAAATTTACTATTGCTGGTCAAAGTTCCTTGCCAATATATTTATATTAGTGGAGGTTATAAGACTGTTTTCAGATTATCTCTCCAAACAGCCTGAAGTTGCCATATTGTGGATTCATGAAGTAAAGTATTTAATACCAACAGGAGAAATAATAAAATTAATTTCTGTGTTTTAAAGAAATGTTTATATAGGGATATATATGTGTGTGTGTGTGCGTGTGTGTATATCCCTATATATATATAGAGAGAGAGAGAGAGTAATTTCAAAATATTCCACTTTTCAGTTCAGGCAGTGATTTGTTGCAATTGTTGTTATTTTTGCCAGATGGTTGGAACATTTCACGTTATACTGTGGTAAGAGCTTAGAGACATTCAGGAAACCATCAGAATTCAGCTAAACTTATTACAATGGGTACATCTAATAACCTCAGTACCCTTTATTTCAAACTATATTTCAAACTGAGCTGGGCAAGAAAAAGTGGTAAGTTTTTTAGCTGTAAATGACTGCTTCTGTGTTTCCTTTAAAAAAAAGCCAACCAAAAAACCCCCAAAACCCCCCAAAACAACTAAGTGATTGGAATTCACTGGCACATCTGTTTGTGGGAAGATATCCAGATAATTTCCTAATGTTTGAAGAGGGTATATAGGTCAGTTAATGTCTTTTATCTGTGGTTCTCTGTTCTGAACTTACCATGCAAAGAAAAAGGCAACCCTGACAAGGGATTGACTAAATTCAGAATTAAAAGACTGGCCATAGTTTATTTTGTACCCTAAAAAAGGCCATTCCCTTGCCCTGGAGAAGGTAGCAATTGTTGTAGGTGAGAACAGAGTGTAATTCATGCTTGCACCAGCCCTCCTCAAGCAGAACTCCTGGCTTGTTATTTTCCTGGAGGCTCTTACCTTCCCAGCCTAGTATTGTTAGCTCAAATGTATGACACAAGAAAAATTCACTTTCAGTTGTAATATAATTCTTGGAAATTGCTCTTCAAACTGAGTGCAAAAGTCACACTTTTTTTCCTCAAAAAAGCCAAGAACAAGGAACTTGATATACTGAAAAAATCTCAATTAACCAATGCAACTCAGATTGTAAATATCAAAAACTGATTTCCTGTTGATAAATATGACGATTTCATAAACAAGAAAAAACCTAATGACTTAGAAAGATATCTAAGGAAATCATTGTCTGCTGGGATGTATTCCAGTGTTTATTTCAATTACTTAACTTAGTGGCCAGAAAGTATTTGCTCAGCTCAAAGTAAAATAGTAGATTAGAACAAGCAATGAAACCAATCATTCAGTGGGGATAAAGATGTATACAGAGGGCTTGCAGGATCAGGTCCTATATGATATAAGCAAAATGCTAGTATTTACCAGTACAAATATTTATTTAGTGTCTTGACTGATTCATTTGTTTATATGATGAATTACTTTGTTAAAACCTGATTATAAATGTTTATTATGAAATATTGCGTTTTCTTTTGAAATAACTATCCTGAGATAACTTGAGAACTTGTGTTAGTTTGTCTGAGGAATAATATGCCTTCTAAGGAGATCATATTAAAAGAAAGAAAAAAAGCACAAAAGTGTTAATGTTATGTATGTATAGATTAAGATGGGAATATCTGTGTTAATCAACTGTTTGCTTTTGTCTAATCTGAATCATAAGCTTGATTGTAAAATGAAATTTCTATGTGTATAATGTCCCTTTGTAAATGCGTGACAAGTGAATTCACAATAGAACATAATAATCAATTCTTCCCCAAACCTCCTTTCCCTGAGAACAGTTTTCCTGGCTTCATCGCTGGGAAGTGGGCTGTGAACAGCTCGCACTTCGGCTTTTCAGACACAGCCATTCTTAAAAAAAAATCTCAGCATTCACTACTCAGAAACCTCAGAAATCCCCAAACCACTGCATCATGGCATGTTTTGCCAGTCACAGTGCTTAATTTAACAGAGTATTTGCATCTCCTGGATGAAGGAAAAGCATCCTGTTGGGCTCTCTGAGACTGGATGAGTGCACTCTGCATCAGGGTACTGGTTCACAAGCTGAAGAAAGGTAGAAGACCAGGGGGAGGTGTGATGCTCAGCCACAGGAGTTGGCATCTTGTGCCCAAGTAACCCCTGTGCTGCCACCTGTGCTGCCTATGGTCTGTCTTGGAACTGTGAGTTAGCCGCTCAAACAAGCACAGAAAAGCTGTACTTGCTGCCACCAGCTGCTCTTGAGAAGCAAAAGGGCCATTTTAATGAGGGAGGGATTAAAGGAGGGTCCCAAACTGGGGATTCATTAAGTGGGGTGGCAGGGTGTCTTGTGCAGATCATGTTTCTCACTGTCCCCAGGGGAAAAGACCCTGGTCCCACATGGCTTCCCTCTGTTTGCACTCCAAGGGCTTTGAAGGAAGGGGCAAAACTTCATGGGGCTCGTGGACCTGCGTCATGTACTTGGGTCCTACTGTATCATGGGACTCATGGGACATGTGGGAGGAAAAGGTGCCACATGGTTTTCCCAATGAGCAGTACAGAGAGAGGCACCTTCTGCACTCAGCAAATGCCAGCTGTGCACAAAACTGCCGTCTGGAGCTTTTGCTCTACTGTGTGCTTGATAATACTTCAAGATTCTTTAAAAAAATTACAGTGTGGATAAAATGACTCCTAGGAGCGTACTGCACATCCTCAGTAACTGGAGAGTTGCAAGCAGCAGGAGTTAAAAACCACTTTTTTAATCAAAGGGAAATAAACAATTTAAACTTCTTTTGATGTCTTAATTGCAATTGTCTCACTACAATAATTTAAGATGTAGTTTGCTACATCAAACATTTTGCTCCAAAGAATGAAGCCAGCTTTAAGGCACAAAAAACCCCACATGTGTAGTGTATATTTTTTTTTTCTTGCAATTTGAAATCAGTTAAAATTTATGGGAAAAAAGGGGATTAGAAATTGGTGAGTCACTGACTGGGGAAAGGTTTGTGTTTCAGCTGTATTTTTAAAAAATAATCAAATCAGGAGAAGAATAAAATGCAGTGTTAAATACACACAGAAATTAGCCATAATTTTAAGAAGCAGTGATAGTTTTGGTCCTAAAATGCAGCAAAATGAGACGTTTCACTAAGTCTAACTATTTACAGTAACTGAGTATCACCGAAGGTTGTCGTCTGTTGTACATCTGTAAGTAACGTGTAATCCATTTTTAATTCATTCATTTCTTAGAATAATTTAAATTTTCTTCCATCAGCATTTATTCACTTGATTAATAAGATTACTTATCAGACTCACTCTCAATTTCCTATTTTTCTTTTTTCTTGGGTCTTCCCATTTGCAGTATGTGTTACTACAGAATTGAAACTTTTTGAGCTAATATATGATATTTCTGTTACTGTTTTATGACTTCACTGCCACACAGAATTGCTGAACTAGAATATTTTAGTGAATGAGTTTCCAGGCCTACTTTAAATTGTTTCCATTTGCCTGTCACTGTAAGTTAAAAGTGTTCTGAATATTATTACTTCATTTCTTCCTTTGGTCTCCTTCATACCAGAATCGCACTAAAGCAAGGAAAAGCAAAATCTTTTTAATGCTTGCATCTAGGAAAATTAACAGAACCAGGGGATTTGTGTGATCCTTTTTTTTTTTTCCTTTTTCTTTTCCTTTTTTGTTTTGTTTGTTTTCAAGTCTTTTATCTCAAACTTCAGAACCTTACTTACTAGTTCTATAATTTTAATAAAAGAAATAATGGTTATTAAGATGTAAGGCAGCACATATATTAGCTTCACCCTACAAATTGTCATTTTACATCCTTATTTTCTAGTCAGTTTATTATAAAACAGATATTTTATATTTAGAGGGACTTTAAAGATAAATTAAAAGCATCCTTGCTGGTTCAGTATTTACCTAGTCTTAGTAGAGAACTTAACCACGTAGACAGAGATCCAAAGATGTACTATATACTGCAGGCTGCTGATTCAATGAAGATATTCCTAAAAGACATGTATTCTAGATAACATTGGTGCCTAACACTTTTACTTAGAGCAGGTAAATTGCCTTTAGGTGATTTCTGTAAAAAAAAAAAAAAAAAAAAAAAAAAAATTAAAAAAGTGTAAAAATGCTTGTGCTTGAGATTATTAACATTGTTATTACATTATGCTTGTTTTTCACATCTGTCCATACACTGTTGGCTGAAGGAAAGAAAAGCTAACTTCTTTGAAGATGATGGTCAAACCGTGAGAGACCAGAGGGAGAACTGCTTGGTGTAGTTCAGCTCTGAAACCAAAACAGACCTGCTATCAGGTAAGGACAATTTCAGCATCAGAAGTAGCAGCCTGAGTTTGTGCAAGGTATCGTGGTATCTGAGGACCCACCTTAATGCTTAGTGAGTGATTGCCAGGAAAAGGCACTGTGCAGTCTGAATACAGTGCTACCAGCACTTGAAGAAAAAAGTGAGGAATGTAGTAAAATATGTTTCACAGATGAGAGGATGGATAGAAAGGATGTAGATCCAGACAGCTGTGTATCTTTTCTTATTTTAAGACAGTGGAAGATAAAACATCTTTTAAAGAAGA